CTAATTCAGTTACAAGGAAATGATGTAAATTTCAAATTATTTCTAGAATTTTGTAAATTTAAAGATATTCTGGCTGCATTTTGTATTGGTCTAGGGGCACCTACTAGTGTGTTTTTGTGCTTATGGCTTCTTATGTTTTTGCTTGGGAGAAATGATATTTTTGTATGACCTTAGTGGCTTCTTCCATCTTCCTCTTTGACATGGTGAGTTCTTGTAATTCAGTAACAAGGAAATGATGTAAATTTCAAAGAAATTTCTAAAATTTTGTAAATTTAAAGATATGCTAGCTGCATTTCTCTATTGGTCTAGACTCTTAGAGGCACCTACTAGTGTGTTTTGGTACTTTTGGCTTGTTATATTACTGTCTTGCTTGAGGAGAATTCATTTTTTGTATAACCTTAGTGACATGCTGACCTAAATATTAGGTAATTAACCAGTTTTGTGTGGACAATTGTAAACTAAACAATGGATTGTGTCACGAAATTATGTTTATGAGAGTCTTATTGTTTATTGTTGGAAAGCATTTGGCTTCTTAAAAAGTTATATAAATGTTGACTGCAACAATGGTGAAGTTTACCTAAATCCATTTGACATTTCGGAGGACTTCCATGATGTTATGCTATGACAACCCAAAGCTGTGAAGCAGCTTTTATTTGTCTTCTGTTTCTTGTCATGCTCTACGCACCAAAACATAATAGTATGACTTTTGTTTAAAAGTGAATCAATGAAAAAAAAAAAAACAATTTTTGTTTAGCTTTGATGTTCATTTTTCCATGAGTCAATTTTGTTGAATTGATTGTCCATGTTCATTAGATTCTAGAGTTTGAGATTTCTTGATTCCGTGTAAGTTCTTTCACCATCCTATTTTTCTTCAAAACAGTGTCTGTGCAACTTGTCTCGCAACTCGTATCATATATAAAATTATGGAAAGACTAAATTTTGGAATTTTGTATTAGGGTGCAAAATGATGCAAACTTTTATATTTTGGGTAATTCTAACACTTCGATTTTCTTTTGGAATAAATGTCTATAAAACTTCTCTCGTGTCATATTGTAACGGAAAAAAAAAATTATATTTTTTTTAACTTGTATGTAAAACGGATTAACTTTTATATTTTGGGTAAAATTCTCGCTGTGATATTGTTCTACAAAACAATGTTCATACATTTCTTTGGATCCTATACTGCAATGGAAAATAGAATTTTTATATATTTGAACTACTGTGTAAAATCTTATGAATATTTTCACTTCAGGTAACTTTTATTTTTTTAGTGGCTGTGTTTTTCTCCGATATCGTATTGTACTGTTCCGCATGAGCGATATGTATCGGAGGATCGATACATATGGTACATTAGTACATCTTAATATATCATGTGTCTATATGTTCGAGACAGCTTAGTACATATCATATTGATAGCTGATTGACACACTGGTATGATATAGTATTCAGAACATTGGTCTATATAACTTCTCTGGTATCACATGTGTTGACTCAAAATTTCTAATTCTTGAAAGGGTACATTTTCGCTTTCAGTACTTTTTTTCATCAATGTCCTCACTACTTCTCTTGTGTAACATATGATTGTACAAAGTCAAAAAAATTTCATCTTTAATGAAATCATATGAACTTTTCAGTCTTAATAATTTTTTAAAAAATATTATTTTTTTTGTTATGATATAAATGACTTCTCTCTTGTCACATTGTGCTAAGCTAAAAATTTGAACTTTTCACTTTCAGTAATTTTTTTATTATCAGGTTTTTTCATATGATACATCCAAATCACCTGTGCTGGTTGTTGAGACAATTCCTATTTACATTGCAGTCTCGTGCCACTGTTACCTCATTAGTTATCCGATCTAACACAAACTATTCCCTCGCAATTTCTCGGTATTTTTAATTCTTGTTTACTGTTTCCATTGGCGTTCTGCTCGAAATTGTTTTTCTGTATGAAGAAAACGTTTTAATGAGCTCTAAATTGGCTTTGCTCTTCTCTTTTCTCTTTCCTGTCGTAATTCCTCCTCTTGATTACAACCGTCACACAACTAACTCGTAACATGTGTCAGAGAGACATGAGGAGAGAGGCCCCACGGATCGGGTGGGCTTTTTATGTCGATCATAAAAGCCATCAGATACGTGGACCCCATCTTATGCTACAGAACGACAGCCTCCTCTCCCTGTCAACGGTGCACCGAGCCAACGGAACGCCGACAGGTACGCACCGATCGATTTGTAATTAGAAGATTCCCCCTCCCTCCCTCACTTCAATTATTGTTCGTATGCTTTTCGAAATACTTTTCTTGGACCCAACCTCTCTCTCTCTCTCTCTCTCTCTCTCTCTCTCTCTGTGTGCCTTGCATTATCCGAAATCTTCATTGAAATCTATGAGTAAGAAGAATGCAAAATACTCTCGGACATTTTAGATTAACCAAGTGGTGTGTAAATAATTTAGGGTTTCTGACATACTTAGAAAATCATGTTACTTAGATCGTGTATAAACAACTTTAATTAATCTCATAAATCTTTTGTTTACTATATTGAATTTTTGTTCATATATTGACTCTATAGATTGTTCTTTTAGTTTAAAGTTTATTTCCCCCACAAAATGGTATCAAATAAATGGCGTAATTGTTTAGCAAAGCTTCACAAAAAAACATTAAAGGACAAGTAGACAAACATGGAAATATGAGTTATGAAGATTGTGATCAGCTTGAGACTTTGGAATTGTTTATATAAGTATTATTAGTCGCATCTCTAATAATAATGTTATTAACGATGTTAGACTCCATCATTGTTATTTGTAATAACTTTTTTAAAAAAAGTTGTATCTACTAATGTTAGACTAGGAATAATATTTGAAGCAGAAGTTGTATGGATTATTTTATTATTTGAAATTTTATAAAGATCATAAATTAATACCACTCGTAAACTCCTATTATTATTATTATTTTGTGGAGATGATATTCTATGAGAAATATATCGTAACCTATGAACAAGTTGAAGAAGTCTTAGTATCTAGTAATATCATGAAAAAAATTACATATAGGAATATTAATGGTAAGCCATTACCTATTTAAGGTGGCGATCGACAAGAATGATTTTTTGATAAGGGTGGTATCAATAAGATAAGTCAAGATTAAAATTGAGATTTTTAGATAATGTTTAATACTCTAAATGTAAAGAGTATGAATATATTAGGCTAATTATTCGAAAAATATAAAGGAATATTGTATCAAGATTTATATTATCTAAAAGAAATCCATTAAATATCTTGAAGGATTGAAAACAGAGTTCACATGCAAACTTATGACAAATTACTTATGTCGATTTGTAGTGTAGAAAACAAAAGTCGATATTTATGGTTGCCAACGTATGGATGGTAATAAAAGAAAAAAAATCTTATTGGTGGATAGTAGTGATGGAAGTTTATTTCTAGAATCAAATAGAATTTTCAAGTTTTGCAATATGTGGTGATTTGGTGGAAGTATCATAATCAAGTACTAGACAACGTATCTTTTCTTGTTTAGGAGATATATCGAGAAAAAAAAATGATTTTAAGTACTTATAATATTTGTATAGCATATTTGAAGAGATGTGAGCGAAAAATTGTTCTAGATTTATTTTCGATTATATATAACGGACTTTGAGCTAGGCCTAAACTAAGTCAAGAAAGACAAAATAATTATGCATTATATTTTATTAATCTTATATAATGAAAATTTTAATTTAATTTTAATCTTGTAAAAATTTTGCTTGTTAATTTGATTTTCTATTCGTTGAGTCTCTATCTTATTATTTTAGTTTCATATATATAGCTTTTCTTTTGAAAGACTTTGTTTTTTCTCCGTGAAAGACTATAATTTTTAAGTCCTTGTGAGGGTTAATTACAAATTGTCCAATATACTTAGATCCTATTAGCATTATATTTAAAAAAAATATATTAGATTCTTATAGTTTTGAAAGTGAAATAAATAATCCTATTTGTCATAACAGTTGTATTCATAGAAGACAACACATGACATCACGTATTGATGGACAAAATGATGGTTTCAACATCCCTTATGTTTTCAACACGTGAGACATTGAAATTATCTTTTTATCGATATAATCATCGGAAATAGAAGGAATGTTGAAATTATATTTTTAACCTTTCATATCAATCCAACTCGTATTGTCACGTGTTGTATTTTCGTCAATGCAGCTGACAACGTTAGAGCAAATGAGATTATTTATTTTATTTTTAAAATAGTAATAATTTTAATATAAATTTTTTAAATTATAAAATCTAAATGAACGTCAGCTTTTTTTCTTTTTATTTTATATTTTTTTTGGGCAAGAAGAACAAGAGACTTCCTATCTTTACCCATTACAACGAGATTTACGGGACACTATTTCTACCAACTTTTGGATTTTCATCAAAGATATCTTAACTATTCATCTCTTAAATTCTTTAGGTTGCTGATTCCTTCTTAGCAGTTCTGTCTATAGCCACCTGCTTTTCTAGATTAATCAGTAATATATATATATATATATATATATATATATATATATATATATATATATATATATATATATATATATATATATATATATATATATATAT